TAGTGTTTTGCGAGTCTTAACATTCAGCTTCGTGGTCAGGCTGTGAAGGAAGGAGCCAAGCAAAGAAACCGAGGTTGGTTTGTCCACTGAATCTCTGGGTTGAGTACTCTACCAATACATTCCAGAGGTCCCCAACTGTCCATTTGTGTGCCAGAATCCATTGAGTCACCTACAACGATAAGACAAGTTAGATAGTGATTGTGTACATGGAAAACAATGCGAAGGTAGTCTGTGAGAATGAGACCTCATCTATTTTTCACTATATAATGTCATAAATATAAGTTGTAAAACGTAAATTGCATACAAAGCAAGAGCAGAATACTAGAGTAGGGGCATGAATATTGACGAGAACCATAGATTTTTTTTCCTTCTTTTTTTTTTTTTTGGTAAGCTCAAGCAAGATGAGTAAGTACCTGATTTACGTTCTGCAACGCCACAAGACCAAATGTGTAGTATGAAATGAACGGTCTTAAAGCCTGAAAGGAATGTGCTGCAATTAATGTAAATATCAACCCAAGAAGACAAGAAATGAGCATAAACTGCAAGTATTTATTTTCTACTGCAGGCACCATGGGATATAACACCTCCTATAGGAGTACGACATCACAAGTAAACACTGCATAAGGAGATGTAACGTCAATGATTGAAAAAGGTATATTTCTTTATGCTGATGGCTCTAGGCTTGAATACTTACCTGTGAAGCAGCAAGCCACTGTATAATAGTCTTTACTTCAGGATCTCCTCCAAAAGAACCACAGCCCCAATTTCCTGTTGCAATCCCAATACTTTCTTGGTGGTCAAAAAACTGATTAACATTACACTCAGAATTTCCGACTGTTTGATTCATGTATCCTCCTTCATTTCTTTCAACAGAAGTAGAGGGAGATTCACCTAACTATTAGAAAAAGAAATCATCAGTAACACAAATTCATCATGGAGGAGCAAATTCAAACAATTATGATTCTCAGCAGAGAACCATGTAATGTTGCATCAACAATAAAAGATACTGCACAGTGCAATAATACGTGGAAACATCAGCTAGAAAAAAATAAGCAAATCATTAACAAAAAGTAATAAAGAACTCAAACCAAAATATTAGTCCTGGATGTGTTATCATGATCTTTATCATCTTGATCAAGATTAATTGAATTAAGTCCCTTTTCTTGAAACAGTCTCCTATACGAACAACTTTTTGATTGATCCAAAAAGCCACATAATGCCTTATTAATCTCCCTGCCAAAAGCAACAAAATGAAGTTATACAATATGAAAATTAACAAGAACAACAGATAAATCAGTGTGATGATATTTTATCATACAAATACCCTGGGGGTTGGATAACTGATCCATTGATCAGTTAAGCCCCATATGGTTTTACAATCTCAACAACATGTATAGTCCATGACTCATCCTTGAAACAACATTTCATAACCGCATTAATAACATCTAATTAAACAATGTTAAACATCATTCACGTGTTACATAGCTTAACGAACATTTTTCCTAGATTAATCCCCACAACACTGTGTCACAAAGAATCTAACACATCAAAGCAACTTTGAACTTCTTCAGGAGCGCAACTTTGAAAACGCTGTACTCCTTACTACATCCATCCTTTCTTGTCCTTAAAATGAAAGGCATCACTTATCATGTCAAAAGTTTCCACAGTGCAGGGATAAAATAGTATACAACCAGTTTCTCTTCTAGTCTACAAAGACTCATACCTTAGAAGGTATTTAAGCTCATATTGTTTCATCCTTGGGTTGCATAAAGCATCAACAGCAATGATCCTGGTTTTACGTCTTCCAAGAAAGTCAATAGTTCTTTTGTCTATGCAGTCACCAGAAAAACGAAATGAAGATGCATACCTATCCCATTAAAAAAAGGATAGCATAATCAGTAACCAAAAGTAAACAGAAAAATTGGAAAGAAAAAATGTCTGCCCATGTATGTACTTGAACTTGAACTGCTTCCTTAAACAAGAACCTGGCCTCCCCTATTTTTCTGACTTTAAAAGCTAGCATATCCAAGCAACCATGTAAATTGATTCATAGCCATTCTTTCATTTGATTCAATGAAATATTATTGATATTTAAGATACAAGTATAGTCAAGAAGGAAAAAAAAAAAGATATATCAAAAATGATATGGTAGCACTTCTTTTAGTCAAGTTTGATGCACGTCTTATCCACAAAAAGCTCACCCGGTATAGTCAGAGAACCTCTCTGCACCAACAATTTCTATAGCCTCATTATCTTCCATGGAAGGCAAGAAAAGCATGCCTGCAATTAACTCGGGATTGACCATGAAGCGGATTTCTTCCTGTGAAAATAACAGAAACAACCACTATTCCACTCAACAAGGTTTCAAGGGAATGAAGGCCTCTATGACAATCAAAAAGATAAAATATTGGAAGAAAGCATCCACATGAGAGGGCAAATAACTGGCAATGGAACGTATTTGATATGTTATCAATAGTATGTTAAGCCGTGTCAGCCTAGACTGCCTACCTAAAGTGTAGACTGTGGAAAACAGTTTGAGATGATTTCAAAAGGAATGCAAAAAGAGAAGACTATACTATACTTGTACACAGCCCCTACGTAGAGCACCACCTCCAAGATATTTGTTTGCAAAATCCACTTGAAGAGCATCATTGGAATGATCTTCTATCAAGCCTGAACTATGAGCCTGCAAAAATAGAGACTAAGAAGTCATTGCCACAACTTAAAAGATGTAAGTAAACATGACAGATAGAGCAATTTTATAAAAATGTGATAAATATATCTGTTAAATTATTACCTCAAAAGGGCAAAGGGGGATGGCAGATTTGCCCCAAAAATCAGCCTTGGGATAGGAAATATGCAAAGGATGATATTCCAAAGAAAGCAACTTTCGCTCAAATGAGACAAAGCCTGAAGGCATCTGTGAACATATCCTTTCAAAATAGTGCACAATGCACTTTATTTTACTTTCATGACTTTCACTGTAGCTTTCATATAGATTCCTGAATACAGGTGCATCAAACAGATCATTTTCCATGTTCAGAAAAAGAAAGTAAATTTGACAAAATAAATATGCATAAAAATTTGTTGTGATAGAAGAAACCAGATTGAAGAAAATTGTTACACAAGAAGCAGTGAAATTAACTTAACTTTCAGTAACCAATACCAGTATTTCAAACAAGTTTAAAAAGCAACACTTCTAGTATACTTTGCAATCATTCAAGATGCTACAGGAATAAAGTGCTTATAAACTAATTAAGTCAGCCTAGATGCTAATGCCACTCGAAGTTTCTCCCTATGTAATAAACAGCATTTAAAAATATTAAGATAGAAATTAACTAATAAACTATACTACAATAATTGTCATTAGTCCCAAGGTTGCAGCCCGTTCAACAAGATATACTGTCCACACAATGAAGCAAAGAGCCTCATGTACAAATTGAAATGTATTCTAGTATCCAAAGCTTTGCTAATTAACTGCAAGCATAATATATTTTATAAATTAAGAAAATAAAGCTGAAGGGCACATACGCAAACAATTCATCAAAGTTGATAGTTGGAAGCTGTTTTGCACTTCTATTAGTGATGGGGAACAAACAAAAGAAGGAGCATGCAAGCAAGGCAGCGACCAGTTCCTGACATACAACATCAATGTCATGGAAAATTTATATTATTAAAGCTAAAAAAAAAAAAAAAACTCATAACTCAATGGAGCAGCTATAAATATAACAGGCAAGATAACATGTTGTACCTTACACGCAATTCAGGTAATCAAACTAATCTCATGAAAAAGGGTCATCAATCTAATAATTAATAAATAACAACATAATTGTGTAAGCCTCTAATATGCACACAATATGCATAGAGACTATAGTCAAGTTGTTTCTATCTTGCATAACCATAGTAACATGAAAACAGCATTGCGGTATTAATCAAAAGCACGCAAATATGCTTTTGGTAACTAAATGGACTGCAAACAAAAAGAACCATTTGGACTTAGAAACTCCTTTGTCAAAGGGTATTGAGTTTTTCAACAAAAGCACTTCTTATAAACCAATCAGTAGATTCAGTACTGAAAATAAGTTTCAAAGGTTTATCTTTTAGAACAGTAGGCGGCTGTAATTCTTCTAATATGCTTGATCCTTTTGAAGAAAACCAACCCAAAGCTCAAGGAGATGCATAGAAAAGATACCTGGCTGAGAAAGACGATGCCAGCTTCTTGGGGACCTAATATCCGAAGCCCAGTTTCCATACCGTATCTGAGCGCGTTTTGATAATGAGTTTCCAGTAGAACCGGCAAACGTAGAAGCAAATTCGCCAATTCTGGGAGAACCTCTTCAAACCATTTTCTGGAATCTTCCCGAGAAATAAGCTGAGCACAAAGGAGGAAAAGGTTCGAACAATTCGTCAAGAGACAAGAGAGAAGGGAATTAGGAGCCAATTGGGGGAGAAAGAGTTTACCTCGTCAAAGAAAAGGGCGTAACCTTGAGGAGCGGAGCGAGCGAGAGGTTCGAAGAGAGATAGAGAAGCTCTGATGTCGGCAATGGCAATGGAGAGGACTTCGCCGGAGCAGACTCGGCTGTGATCAGGTCCTCTGGACAGAGCTTTCAGTGGTTCAACGACTTGTGACGGCCATAAAAGACTGGATGATCGGATTACTAGCGGCAGAAATGGCAGTATTGACTTCAAATCTTCTCTCTCCTCCATTCTTTCTCCCTCTCCCACTTGCGCCTCGTAGAAGAAGAGACAGTTGAAGATGAAAATCCAAAAGAAAAATGTTATCTTCAAAATGGGAACAAGAACTTTTACCAGCACTAGCTCCAGCAGTAGACAATGTGTTTTTTTTTCTGGCAAAATACTCAAATCCACCCCCTCAAGTATAGAGGCAGGGAAAAATCCATCCTCCAATAAAAAATAGAGAATAATTCACTCATTTTTAATTTGAACAAATTTAAAATCAAGTATAGAGGCAGGGGAAAATTCCTATTTTTTAATGAAAAATAGGGATAAATTCACTTATATTTAATTTGAATAAATTATTTTAAATTTAATATATGATGTAATTTAATGTTAATAATTTACTAAATTATTATATCGTTATTATGTTTATTGTTAATGAATTATTGATATTAAATAATATCACATATTAAATTTAAAATGATTTATTCAAATTAAAATTTTTCTAGATAAATTTATCTTATTTTTTATTTAAAAGTGGATCTTTCCTATTGGGGGTAGATTTAAAAATTATACTTTTTCTACTGTTATAGGGGTGGATTTGAAAATTATACCTTTTGCTTTTAACAAGTTAAAATGGAGAAGCAAAGAATTCATGCTTTTGGTGAGCCTCTCGCATTATCAAGTGTTAAGTGAATGATCCACGGTTTAACCCAAACTAATCAAAAAACCAACGGATTAGATTGGATAAAAATCCAGCACTACTTGGGTTGGCTCTAAATCCATGATTTACTGGAACCAAAATAATATGGATTGGGTTAAATCCGGACCACCCCATAAAAATCCATCCAACTTGCACCCCTAAATTGTTGATTGTGACATGAGAGGATTAACTTTTGTTAGCTTTATTGAGTCTAATCGAATTTTGATGTCTCTAATTGAATTCTTAATGTCAATTTGAACTTTGATAAAATTAATCCAAGTTAATCCACAATAATGATGAGATTTCCTTCAATTTAGGTTAATTAAATTTTGTTTTGAGCATGGTGTTTTGTGTTCTTATTGTTTGTTTTCTTATTCATAAATTGATGTTGGCTGTTTTTGAATGAAAAATGATGACAAATGCATATAAATGTAGAGCCAAGATATGTAGCATGTTTTCTTTTTAATATTAAGATATAGATATTTACTTATTATAATTATTAATTACTTAGCATTTACATTTATAAATATGAAGAATTCATTTAAAATCATCAACATTAAAATTATTTAATTAAAATCACGAGGTTTAAAGTTCTATAAATATGAAAAATAAAAAATAAAAATGGTGCTTTTTAAAAAACTATATATTATTTTTAATTATTTCAACATCACGTTAAATTAAAAGCTCTTTTCTAGAAAAATTTACTAAAAATCTTTTTATTTTAAAAGTACTTATATAAAAAATTTTACCAAACACATTTACTTTCCCATCAAGGACACTTCTATAACAAATTCCTTCAAACAAAATTTAAAAAAAAAGACTCCAGTCATACCAAATAAGCTATTTACACTGGTAGTGGGCTTAATTCATTAAAACTAAGCTAACGTATATTTTTAAGATGTCAAACATGCATTATTATTATTAATTTTTTGATAGGTGCTATGATTAGGAGTTAGAAGTTAGTATCTTACTTCTTGATAAAATTCGACCACTGATCAAGGGTGCAATCCATTGACAACCCTGTTAGGCTGTAGTGGCCACCAATGGATCACAACAGGAAATGCGTCAAACATGCATTATTGAAATTGATATTTGTGTAATTATTATATTTTTTTATATTAATTGATATTAAAAAAATTAAATTAAAAAAACAAAAATTAACTTTTAGTTAAACTGTTTAATTAAAATGATGCATATGACACTAATAATTAAAAGTAATGACAACTTTTATATTTTTTAAATATTATTTAACGTTTAGAAATAATAATAAATTATCCTCTTAAATTAAGCACAGGTTAAAAAAACTAATTAAACTATCCATAACTCCTTTGAAAAAAGGAAAAAACTCTAAGCTTTAATTGATAGGGTTTTGACATTAAGCAAAACTCTCTATTTACACCTTTCATATTATTTTTTCATGATCAATTCTCTTTATAATTTTCCCTATTGTTCAACATTTTTTATAATTTGAAATCTATAAAAAAAAAAAAATCAAATTATCAACAAAATCAGAATATAAATAAAAAGATTTTTTTTTTTTGACAGGAACAATGGCTAAAAGTTAAAAGTTAGGTTTATATCTTGCTCTTAACAAGATTTGGCCACTGATCAAAAGTGCAATCCACCGACAGCCCTGTTAGACTGCAGTGGCCACCAATGAGTAATGGGAGAATGCGAATATAAATTAAAGGATTGATCATTAATTTTGAGTGCAAATAAGAAATTTGACCATTAATTTTTGATTTTTTTTTTAATTTTAAATTACAAGAAGTGTTGGTGAGAAGTAAAAATTTTTAGTCGTGTTAAACCAAAAAAAAAAAAAAGTGCAAAGGGGCTTTGGCCCTTCACATTAATTTGGGCAAATAATATCCGTTTCCATCAGTGTTATTACCCAACACCAGGTTCTCAAATAAATATGAAACAATTAAATACAATGAGAAGTGGAAGGCCCAGACCAATTTCCAAAATTGCCTACAATTTGATCACAATCCTGAATGTCTGGCAAGGGTATTTAAGAGATATACTGACACACACTGTGACAGACTGCTAGACAAACACCAGTTTTCATCGCATGTTACCCTCCCTTAAGACATCGATCATGTTAAAGATGCACTTGTCTGCCCTTGACTTAATCTGCTTTCCACAAAACATCCATGGAAAACTCAATCAAAGATCAGCATAAGAGTGCATAAAACATGCCATGGACCATAGTACTGTTCATAAGAATTCAATACTTCCATCTTAGATTTTCAATCCGCATATACAATTTCTTTGATAAGTGGAATTTATAGAGAAAGGTGGAGGGGAGTATGATTAGTAGTACCTTCTTAGCAAGGAAAAGAACAGCATCAACAGTACCCTCTGCATATATTGATCTGCCACAAACGTTATGCTGAAACTCAAAAGAAACTCTGCAAAAGAAATTCAAAACAGAAAAAGAGGAGGATTAAACAAGAGAAAAGTCATTTGGTGCTCACAAACTATCCACAATGTAGGAGTTAAACAAGATATTGGTTATACGTTTGATCAGGTGATGTCAGGTGGTACGTATGGAACGCATGGCCAGACAAATGCTCCTCAGGAACTCCCACCATCTCAAGTTGCTGCTCAGGATCCCTGATCAATTTTATCTGATAATTTAAAATGGAAAAGGTTAGGAAGAGTTAGAATTAAGATGCCAAAGTTTTTCAGGAAAAATTATTAAATTAATTAATAGGCAAAGAGTTATAAATCTTCCAAGATAAACCAACAAGGCAATGAAGCATGAATGTCATTATCCTATATATGCACCTGGTCCATGTCAAAAGACACCCCCAATTTCTGAAAGCAAGAAATCACAGCCTTAGCAGTTCCAGAAGCATCTAATTTGCTAGCTTGATGTGACTCCATCACCTAAAATTGTATGTGAATGCATAAGTGATTTCATTCAGAATAGCTAACGTCAAAAGGATGCAGCAAAAAAGCACTTAACTCCTTTACATTCTTTCAGTTAAGTATATCAAAAGGTACCTCAAGGGAATAACCAGAGAAGGCTCCAGGAAATTGCTCAGCCATAATCTCCATGGCCGCAAGAAAGGCAACAACCTGCCAAAGCCACCACATTGTTAAGCTATGAAATGAAACTCAGACTGATAAAGGTATAATTATTATTACTAATAATGGATTACAGAATTCAGATTACCTGTTTTCCCATTTGCGGGGAGATCACTGCATAAACCCCTGAGTCTTCTACAGTTTTATATAGTTGATCCCTGTCTCCACCAGTGGTTCCCATAACAAAAGGCACTCCGACTTTGCAATAGAGCTCAGCGTTAGCTACATTCCACCCAACAATGTTAAGAGATAAGCCATCCTTGGATAAAATCAGAGATGTCAACATTATTCATTCATTTAATCAGAAAGTCATAAACTATTTCAGCACTTGATAGATCCAGGATAGTTCAATTTCAGCAATAGATTTTCTCAGAAATCATGGATTTAGAGACAACAGTGCTTAGATTATTATCAAAACACTGGCTCCAAGTATCTTTGCTTTTTCTACTCCTTTTTTTTTTCTTAAAATATATATTTCTATATGGGTTACCATTAACTGCAGCAGGTACAGTGTAGTCCACCACAATCAGGTTTGGATTTTCTTGAAAGACAGTTGCTAGGATGCTCTCTCTCTCAGAAGGACCATGCACCAAAATCTCTTTTCCACATACTTCCACAGTCTGCCCAGACTCCTCTGCTGCACCAAATGATACAGGAACAATATGAACTCCAGCAGAATCTGCTGCTTTGATAACAGCCTTTCCCATCTTTCCACAACAACTGTTTACCTGTAAAGAATAAAGGTTGTCAAAAGGAGAAGAGAGCTTATCCTATTAAACCAAATTACTTGGTCACTGCTCTTCTCAAAAGTTATGTACTTGATCATATACAACAGCCCTCACAATAGTTGGGCAAGGAAGAAAATCCACTCTACGAAGTTCTCTTCCAATAACCTTCTAATGGCCTATTCGTCTAAGATCAAAAGAGCATTAAACCTGGTGATGCGGTACAAGGAACAAAAACTGATAAAGTAGATTACAAAATGGCAATCCATCTTTCCAGAAGCTCCAAGATTTTACTTGTAACTCATGCACAACTAACAAATGATATAAGATAATCTACTTGCTAACAGGCCATACATCAATTGACATGGTATCTTTTGAAATTTGGCTTCATTCTACTCCTTATGACCCAAGAGGTAAATATTTCTCAGAACAAGGAGTGTGAATCAAAGACATGTTTGAATTGAAATTGAGACTCACTCCCAGTTCCACCCATCAAGATCCAAAAAAAAAACCACCAAACTGGGGCATAACTATGATTGACTTAACAAGTTCCCATTCCAAATGAAAGAATGGAACTCCACTCAAGTTGCTTCCTATAGTGACTTTAGTCCCGATTGGCCAGTAGCTACCCCTATCAACAAGCATACTAGAGCTGGAAAAGGACGAGCTACAAAGAAACGAAATGCTTATGACCCAGTACCATGATTGAGATGTCAGTTTTGGGCAAAACTGACTTCTGAACGTGTTGAGCAGCTGCAGTGGACATGGATGACGACAACGCCACGGTGAAGAAAGATGCTCGTTTCTGGAAAATCCCAGCAGGAGCACCTCGATCCTGCCTTCTTCTGCCAACGGAAAAGGAAACTAATTTCTCCTGCCGAGACACAAAGGTGGGAGCTTTAAGCATGGAAGCCATTATCACTGTCAAAAGCAAAACATCAAACAGATACATACTAATTTCTGAAATAAAAAGCAGAAATTGAGAAAGAGCCGTCTGAAAAAAAATAGTTGATTTATTAAGTCAAGTAGTTTACCTTACCTCACTCCTTTCGGATAGAGAAATGTGATATGGGGTTTAGGTTTTATGTGTCAGTCTGTGGCACAGTTCTAACTCCACGCGCCGCCGGAGACTGAAGAGAGTATACCTCGGTCTAACCCAGGGAAGAAGACGAAGGATCTTGCATCGTTATGGACCTATAAAGGATCCAAGAAAGGCCACTAAAATATACACTGCGAAGTGCGTTCGCTCTGCGGTT